AGCATTCTAATAACTTCAAGTCAGCTGTTTCTGGCCACTCATCATAAGTACTTGTTAAATATGCAATACGACTCTTAATCCTCGAAAAGACAACACTCCAATTCGAGGCACTAATATACAAAATTACTCTACCAGCATAATTAAAAATCTCACAAACAATCTCATAAGTAACTGTCGAATATACTGCATATCCACCATTGACCATTCCGCCTCCCCCACTGCCAACACCAGGATTTGGAATGCCTGCACCAGGAACTCCGATGATTGATTGATCCTTCGGCAAATTTTCCTCTTGATTCGCCATTTGATGCAAAAATCTAGAGAGAACTTTGAGGATATATTTCGCTAGAGAATCATCAATTTGTGGTGGATCGTCCCATGATTTATGGAGCATTGTTGTTGATGAATGGTTGTTATTACTAGGATTTATATTACTAGTATTATTGTTGTTAGGATTCATATTACCGCTAATTCCATTATTTGTCATTTTCGAGGAGTAATTATTATCAACTAAAGTAATGATTGATGAACCATCCGATGATGGATGTCGTGAAATAACACGATTAACATGTCCATTGCTATTGTTTTTGATTTCGACAGATGATTGCGATGTTTTTGGAATACCATTCAACAATTCACCTCGTTGTAATCCACGATAACATTTCCAGTGGTGTGATACACATGCTGAAAATATTTTCAGTACGAATAACTGTGATTGAAGAATGTCGACTGGCATAGAGTCTTCTAGAACCATCGTGGTTGGCTTGATAACATAACAAAAAGTAAGTATTATTCTGAAAGCGTTTGTAGATTTAAGCAGACTTGTTATCAAGAGGAGATATTTTCATGCAAAGCATTCCTTGAAATATTGTGTTCCTATAAACCTCAATTCCAAGATGAACAAATCTTTTTTTCCTCTCATCAGAATGTATTATTATTTTTTCCTGCACCCGATCCATATCAATTTCTCTCATTTCATCCCATCACATTGACAGATTTCTTTCAATCCTAATATTAGATACCTTTGATATGGTTTCCAATAAATGGGTCAAATTTTTAACAATGGTACTAAATCTAAACCTGGAAAGATCCACGATCGCACTAACAGTTTGCTGTACTAGAGGATCAGCCTCTATCGTTTCTAACCTTTTACCACTATTACATGGTAACTATTGATTTGTCATGTAGTATATAGAAAATTAATAAATTGTGTCGTCGCCGAACAGAATACATGTACATAATGCAATTATAATCTTATTTCCTTTCTAATACCTTTAGTTCAATCCGAGTAATCAATGCTAAAACCAATTTCGTATCTCCATTCATTATAACATAGAGCAATCTTAAATTTTCGAAAAAATAATTTTTTATGTATACTCTTTAAAAATAAAAATGTATAATTATGAAAATAAAATTGTCAAAAAATACATGTACACACTTTCACTTTTAAGGTAAAATTTTTCAAAAAAGAAGGAAAACGGAAGGTTTAGAAAGGAGGTGTTTCGTGGACAGTAAAAGATTAAATAAATAATTTCATAAAAATGTAGTGAAAGATAACAATAAGGTACGTGTTACCATGCCATCTTACATGTATGCATATAACCAATAACATAAGGAGAGATAAGGTTAAAGATTTTTTTAGTAATTTCAATATAAATTATACATACATGAATATCGAACGACGTTTCTTCAACACTGAAAAAGAATGAGATAACGTTAAAGGTTTCCCTTTGGAACATTGAAGATCTTGATTTTGATCAATTTATAAATAAAACAGGATTATAGAATTAAAACAGCTCTTGCTTCTTAAGACTCTCATATTTTTGAAAAATAAAATTATTGACATAATACTCAGATAAGAAATACAAATACTTATACATAGTTTACTTGAAATTTTCCAATTTTTTACCGTTATATGTTTTATTATAGAATTCTGATTGGGCGATACTTTGAGTGTACTGGTACATATATAACGTCTGGAGGTGAATAATTCAAATTTAATTAACATGTGCATAGTATTAAAAAAATATCTGTCTACAAATGAAGTTTGACGTAGAAAAGTGGTTCACATGATCAAAAGTAACAAATAAAATGACGACAATGAGGTTAATAACTTTTCAATGAGAAAGGAGCGGATAAAGAGGGCAAGAGACCATCCATCAGAGGTATAAATTTTAATAAGAGTACAAAATAATAAATAGCACACATAGAAACAAAGGAATTGAAATCAATTTTGGTTCGTGTAACTTTTCTTGAACTCCAAATTTGTTTTGCATCACCAAAGATGTTGAATTAGATGTACATGTGTGTAATATTAAAAGTAGTGTTACCAAAAGCAAGTGTGTGCATTTGGTACAACTTAATACATGTATTCGTTATCGTTGTAATTTTTAATTGATATGAAATGTTTAATTGATATTTAATAATAGAAATTACTGTACCAGTAGGAGGTGGGATTAAAATTAAGTTCGTGGTAAATATTTGACTGGTGTAAATTGTATTTGGATTTTGGATGGATTTGTTTATAGAAATAAATTTATTCCATCCTATTGTTCTTTCCAGTTTTATCTTTCTAATGCAAGACCATTTCATCATTTGCTTTAAAGAGAAATAGAACTGAAAATGCAAAGTAATCAGTTCTTGAATGCATTTAAAGATGATAGAACAGATAAAGTCTCTCAGTAGTTTCTAGAACAGAACCCTAACATTTTTTAATAACAATTTTATAAAATTCGGGAATATTATAGATCGTAATCCTTTATAGAGATGTCTAATAACATGACCTTGTTCACGGAATGACGGTTCACCAGTTACAATCTCGTACATAGCCATCCCAAAACTATAAAAATCTACCGTGTTAGTGTATGGCTTTACACATTTAGTATTATAAAGAAGTTTGTCGTAAATTTTTTGGTTTTTATATCTTCTGGGTCGGTAAGTCCAAATCCATAATGAAAGCATCAAATATGTAATAAGATATTTCCACGATAAGCATACCTCTTTATGATTTTATTTTGAATCACGCAATTTCAACGCAACTTCGCGTTTACGTTTGTTGGATGGTTTAAATTTATTTTTTCTATTGTAGCAGTATAGTGATGATTACAGCTACTTTTACATTCTCTTTAATTTCACCTAACGTGTTTAAAATTGACAAAGCAAAAAAAAATAATAATCAAGAAATCAATAAAAATTAATATAATTATCTGCCATATAATCTTTCACCCAATAAATAATTTAACTCATGAGTATGCTATATCTGTAGCGTGTAGTGAAAAAAAGCAATTAAATTGACGATGCTAGCATAGATATCTTTATCACATGTAAAGCAAGCATTTTTAA